ACAACTGACTAACACCTTCAAGAAGCTCTTTTTATACATCAACTGTTAATCAAAGTGTAGTTGCGTAATTGCTGTTTGCTCCATACAAAACACCAAAAACTATCTAAAAAAACTAATGTTATCAAAACGTTATTACTTTTGCTCCAAAACTTTTTTTGTACTTCAACTTAACTGAATATGTCAGAGAACACTTTTTTTTTCACACTCAGATGTTTCATTTTAAATTTTTTTAAAAACAAACTGGCTATTCTAAAACAATTTATTTGTGTTTGCCTGTCTGCAGATTTCCAAATTTTTTCTCAAAGCATAAAGGAACGCTACCAACAAATACACTATTAACATTGTCAATAGTCCACTTCAGTTTACAACTGTACATCTGTGTTCTTCTGAAACTTATTAGCTGTTATTACAGTCAGAAAAATGATGACTTGTTTTTGTGCTCATTCATCAGTTCCATTTAGTCAACGACCAAAAGTTTATGCTTGTTATTGCTGGAGAACTCTGTACTTGATCATACTTTCTTTAATGCATAGTCGATATATTAATGCATGCATTTACATGTGTCACACACAGTTGTCCAGTTTTTCAAATGCCTAAACATATCCGTGTATCAGTGGTTCTTAACAAAGAACACACAACTTCTATTATCTTTAATTCTTCACGCACTCATTAATCCAACCATACCTTAAACGATTCTTATCAATTTGCATTCTCAGAATCGCCAGTGGTCTTACTAATAACAGCATTCTTTCTTCTTTTTATGACAGCTGAGGAAAAAACACAGACACTAGAAACTGTAATCAGTGATCTGTTGGTGTATTATCCATCTGTACTACAACAATACCAAATTTCTATGCTATAGTCGGCACAAACCTTTTTAGATTTGTAGTCGCCCAAATCGTAGACAATTATTTGCTTGATACTTTATCAATCAAATAGTGCTCACTGTTTAGCTATGCCTTTTTTTTCAATGTTTCGTAAAGAAAAAATAAAAAAAAAATGAATGAGGACTTTTTTACTTACTCAATTTCACTTCATTCTTTGTGAGTTGTCAAACTTGAGAAACAAAAGTGAGAAAAAAATGAGCAAAAAACCGGAACATGACAGAAGAAAAAAAAA